AAGTCAGCCTGTGAAGATTTAACATGCGATTTGAAGACTATATGTGCTGTAGTACAGCGATATTGGGAGTGAGTGATTAAGTGAGACTTTTATAGTTCGGTGTTATTTCTCCGTTGACATGAAACGGATAGTGAAGACCAGTGGAATAGACTTAGAAGATTAGCGTGGAGTGATTTATAGTGTGAAACTCAGTAACAGTGTTATGCTTATTTATAGTTACGACCTCTAAGCGGTCAATAAATGCAATTATCAATCCGAACCCCTTCTATAGTCACTAATACAAGTGACAATATTCTGATCAGCATATTTTATTATACCTAATATTGTAAAGATACTTAGATCAAGGCGGAAATATCACACAACAAGTATATGAAAATGCCTGTTATTGTGTTTTTGGACATTATCCATCGTCTTGTCTTTATCTAAAAACCATCCTGTTTATTTTTCAAAACACAACGTTTCGGAGACTGGATCCATCTCCGTGTTCAGGTAAAACGTACTCAGTTGGGCCCAATCGATGGAGCTAGAGACAGTATCCGGCCTCCGAAACGTTGTGTTTTGAAAACTAAACAGAGCGGGATCTAGATAGAGACAAGGCGATAGATAATGCCCCAAAACATAATATTTGTACCGATGTACCATCGCCACAGACTTCTAGATCTTATGGCACAGAGTTCTGGCTGGGAACCTCGGGGAAAGGTCATAATGTTTCGCGCAGAATTGAATGTTATAGAAACAAGTTGCGAAGGACTGCATTAGATTAACTTCGCTGTGGACAGGCTTCAAGAAAGAGTTTTCGTGAGCATCGTAACAACCTTCGAGTTCTTTAAAAGCACGGAGTAGGGTCGAACTATAAAATGTTCAAGAGAAATACAGCACCGTACACTCAGCCAGTCAATTAATTATGTACGGTTTTATTCTGCTGAAGATTTTATAGATTCTTGTTCTGTCTCTGTCGTCCCATGACGACGTCCCCTTGTCTTATTTTACTGAGGGTTTATGAGATATTTATGAGCTTATAGCTCAATTTCTGTTACGCCTTGTACTCAATTGATGTCAGACAGTGAACTTCAATATGGGGTATGCTGTTCTGGGTAGGGATCGCTTGATACAGGCGACGTTTATTAACCAACTGCAGCATATTGCATTAGAACAAGCGGTCTCTGCTGGCAAGATGAAAATTAAATACAAAAAAGAAAATATATCAGGAACAACTCTGGGTATCAGACAATATCTGTTTATTACATACAGTATTTCTTTTGTAAGAAATAAATATTTCGAAACCAGTTCTACGAAATCAGTAGCCCCTGTTCTGTTGTATAGTTGTGGCGCATAAAAGTGGCTCTGAACTCCGATGTACTAATTTATCGGTCGTAAAATGAGTATCAGCATGGGAGCATCAGTGAGCTATAGAGTTTCATTCCCTGTGAGAACGCTCTGTCGCTCGCAACCGAAGTACCGCTACAGCTACGTCCAGTGTGTCGCTCTACACATCTGACGATATTGGGACGAGTGTAGCAATGACACTGACGGCCTCTTCAGCTCTGTATCGGCATTCATCGACCTGCACTGCTCTCTGCATGTTTTTCATATTCATTATACTTGTTACATGCTGCATTTTTCAGAACAGCCATATTTTGCTAAGTAATGTGTGCTCTCTACATTGGAGAAACTGTTGGAAGCGGTGCTTTCTACGCGGTCCGTGCCGAGGGCCTATAGAGAGACCCGACATCAACAAACCAACACCCCCGTGTGGACGCGGGGTCGAATACCTCCACCGTGACCCTGCGAGTCGTAGGAGGCGACGAAAAGGAAAGTCTCAAATCTGAGACAGTAAAATATGGTCGCGAGTCCCAAGGACTCGGATCCGAGGACTGCGCTGGCGAGCACCAGAAGCATATACAAAAGACAGATCCGTCCTCTCGTCAGAGAGGGCGCCCCACCAAAATAAGACCGTAACTATCAAACGGTAACAAATATCTGGTCATGAGCCCCACATGGGGCTCGACACCAAGACTTACTGACTGACTGACCGTCAGTCGCAATGTGACTTTAACTTTGACAAACCAACAATTATCCAATAGCAATACAAATCTGGTCTTGGACCCCGGATGGGTGTTTGACACCAAGACATAATAGCCAACTGACCATCAATCGTAACGTAATTGTAAGTTTGATTAAAGTCAGTCAGTTCGGTTTGGAAGCCAGTAGAGGAATGACAACTGAATTTGGGGGCTGGCAGTTGGAAGTTAGTGCAGCCCGGGTGCTAGCAACTGAAGGAAGTACCGGCTGAAGCCAGCAGTCAGAGTATGAGATTTGCTTTGGAAGCCGCTGCCAAGCAACGTTACTGAAAACACTAGTCTCTTTGTTATAGTGAACTGTGAAGTTCCGCCACGAGTTGTATGAGTGTCCAATAAATTCGGTCATCAAACCAAAACCCCTTTAGTTTCACTCAAACATTTGTAAATATCAAGTTTTCTTCGCATGGAGCAAAAAGACTTTCTGCACTTCCTTTGCAATCTTTCAGCTTTCATATCCTCATCTCCACCAAAAAAATGTTATTCATTGTCTTCTCTCTCTTTCCTTCGTCGTTCCTTCTTTCGGAGAAAATCTACCAATTTTACACAAGTTTCACTGTGTTGACAGATAAGAACCAAAATTAAACATGGGTGACTTTCGACGTTCCGTCCAACTGGATTCAATAACTGAGGAGACGAACCACGCAGACGGAAAGCCACGACCGGCCACGACTTCCCCATTATATATTCCCGTCATGCACTTCTTCCAACAAATTCAGTATTCTTACTGCCTCGTGATTCTGTGTGAAGTGAGACTTAGTTTCAGTTAGGCCGCGCCATAGCTCAAGCGGTTAGTCGCTGGCTTCCCATTGCGGAGGCCCGGGTTCGATCCCAGGTCTGGTCAAGTGGGGTTTGTGGTGGACAAAGTAGCGCTGGGGCGAGTTTTCTCCGAGCACTTCAGTTTCCCCTGCCAATCTTCATTCCACAAAATTCTCCATCATCATAATCACCCAGGGCAGGCTACAATAGGCCAATCAGTGGCCGCCGTGCCGAGTGGACCCAGTTGGACTCCACCCCCTACTAAGAGAATTAAAAAAAAAATTATTTCAGCTTATTTTCAGTGTACTCCTCTCATTGTTACTGAATGTCGCTGTGAAGCGGTTGGAGCATCAGTAGATCCTGGATTTCAACATCATCATAGCGGCCGATTATTCGAAGGGCTATCGTGGTTTTCCTGAACACCCGCAGAAGTTCTGCAGTCTAGCCTTAAAATACAACACTACTGCTTCCTGCTTGTTTTGGACATCAAACAATCCTCGTAGCTGAAAAAGTGTCATTAAACTTCTAAGGCCCGACAAAGTGAAATTAACTTAGGTCAAGACAGAGCCCAGTGGAGGGTTCTAGTGATGATTTCCAAACTTCGTAAAGCAAGGAACAACAAATCGAGGATAACAAATACGTCTAATATAGAATTAGGCACAACAGGTATACAGTTTTAAAATTTTACAGTTTGCTTCTTTCTTTCGAACCAATAAATTCTTTGGAATCTCGTTTAATGGTATTTTAACATTTTAGATGTTATCAGGGTTGCTGTCATGATAAGGATGTCCATAAAATCAATTTATCATATTTGATACCTAAAACACGTTCCCAGAAATTAGGAAAAATAACTTATAATACTATGATCATCCTTATAGGGAAACGTTTTTCCTCCTACAACTAACATGTGATCGAATACATAAACCGCAAATTTCCCGATTGCGTACGTTCGTATTAAGAGTTCATTCCTGCAGTGACGAAATCTGTTTACCATTGCAAAAGGCAAGAATGTACATTTGAAATGGCAGTATTTGTGTGTACAAACACGGAAAAGAAACCTTGGCAACAAACCATGCAAAATGTCAGAATCATAGATATTCTTACTTAATCAATTACAGCATTTTGCTATATCTGACTTCCAAGCATATCCACATCTTCATATTAGTACATTCATAGGGCCGAAAGAGTATATGCATTCATTTTTCCAAACAGATACTGAAGTCTATTTAAAGAAGTCCTAGACAGCAGAGGAAGACGTGGGGCCCATGTTTCCAGAATTGCTGTAGCTACGAAAATAGTTGCGATTTTTTCTACTCCATGATTAAAATGAACACAGAATGAGATATTTATTATCCGAGTCGTCCTTCCTCACGTCTCAACTAGGACTATAATACCATGTTATTCTTTCTTCAAGAAACTCTGTAGGGCGGATAAGCTTTTATTTGTTGTCAACATTTATAGTTCCTTTGTACCAGCCCAATTTTACGAATGAAGTTCGAATTTCATTTCAACAAATGTCTCAAAAACTTCTAATGTTGTAGACAAAATGTGTTCATGATATAGAATTAGATATAGAAACACACACACGTGCTTTCCACCAGTTGGATATATATCTTAGGTTTCACTTAAGCAAATGATCGTTGTTCAGCTTAACGCAAATTTTCTGAGGCTGTGGAAACAAAAAGTGGTGTGATCAAAATAAGACTCGTCATTGGACCGTTAACAACACGAAACATATTCATATCCCGATTATCTATTTACCTACGATCTATTTTAATGATACCCTCCCATACATACCGAGGTATTCAAAGTGATTATACCGGTATACTCTGAATTCTACCAACATTCTGCATTTCCTTTATATCAGGCATGCTTTCTTACCGATATCTGATTATCCTAACAATAAGAAGCCTGGGCAGAATAACTGTACAAGTACCCCATCTTACACTTCTGCCCCATTTGGCGTCACTCCACCTGCCCTACATATACTGTTCCTGCATATCCCTAACCCAAAGGCTGATGTTATGTTGGTGGAAGCACTAGTTCTATTCAGGTAATAAGGCATTAGATCAAAATTCCTTTCTGCAGTAATACATTTCTCATCGCTTAACAAGTTTCTGTTATACATCACATGTTCAGTAAGATTATATATCGGTTACTTACATTGTATGAGACATTGCACATTGGATGCGACGAGAAAGACCCCGAGAAACCTCCAATTTTATACCATGATGGACGGTCTGAAGTTTATTGCACAACAAAATGTCGATTACTTGTTTAAATCTGTTGAGCGTATGCATTTGGAACTGTTCCTGCTCGCACAGTGATCGGGCACTCGAGTCTGGGTGAGGGTGGAGGGAGAGTGTATGACGGGTGTGACAAGGAGTGGGGTGCCTACAGAGTAACGTGATACTGAGCCAATACTTGCTATGAAGACGTTTCCTTGCGTCTCCCCCCTTGAACTGACAGGTGCCCATGTCTGGCAGTCGGTTAGAGAAATGGATGGGCTTGAAGAGACCAAGGGCCAGTTAGGATTGCGATAAAAATTCTTCCTTTTAGAGGATTCTTAAGTGACAGTCCATTATTCATACTGACTCAATATATTTCATATGTATGTAGCATGGTAAGCGTTAAAAAAGGTGAAGCTATCCCTCTAACAGTACGTGAAGGCCCATAGGGTTGTGAGACGTCGAGGCATCCTTATTTTCTCCAGAAAATAGGCCCATACATGGCGGTAAGTTTGTCAGTCTTAAGCGCTGGCTTCCCTTTACCCAGCAGGAAGATTTCTGATACTCATTTCCCTTAGAGGCTGAATCGACCCCAGAGCCACTTCATCGGAACTCGAACCCGCAACCTTCCGGCTTGTAGTATAGTGAATCAAGCAACTACGCTACCGCGTGCACCAAATAGCAACGTAACTAATGAATTAGAATATGATAGCATGACTGCTAATTGGTGTTTTCAGCGTGTTAATACAATCACTGAACCGAATCTGAAATGAGCCTCATTCTACTTTGTCATGCTCTGTTTGAGGTGCAATAAGGGGAACTGGTACCTATATATATGTGTACCAGAAGCACCGGGGCACACGGTAGCGTAGTTGGTTGAGGCACTATGCTACAAGCCAGAAGGTCGCGGGTTCAAGTCCCGATGAGGTCATTGGATAATTTTCAATTGATCTAATCCTTCCAGCCGCATTATGGCCCTGGGGTCGACTCAGCCTCTAACAGAAATGAGTACCAGGAATATTCTTGGGGGTAAAGCGCGGCCGGCACATAGGGCTGACAACCTTGCCGCCATCTATGAGCCGATTGTCTAGAAAACGTGGGAACCTCAACATCTCACAACCCTATGGGCCTCCACGGCCTGTTCCGTATTCCGTATTGAGGGGGTGGGTTTCCCCATGCACTTAGACCGGTTAGTGGTCCATTGTGCGTCCCCCTTTAATTTCTACTGTCTCCATACCCTACCGGTACTGGTGCTTACTATCAGCCCCTTTCTGCCAGCAGGGTTCCAACCTCCTCTGGCAGTGGTATCTAATAGTTAGTCCCTTTCTGTCGGAGAGGTCCCCCCTCCTCTGGCAGTGGTACCTAATACTTTCCCCATCTACCGGAGGAATTGGAAACTACTTGGGCGGGAAATGTTGCCTAATTTTGCTCAGAGGTCTCCTAGAGACATGAGGTTCTTTTACGTGCCGTAAATCTACGACACGGGACCCACGGTCCATGGCCTGTTACAGGGATAGCTTTACTTTACTTACCAGGAGCACCATCACTTCTATATCGGCTCGTCTAGCACCGCGACCACAGTGGTCTATTGTGCCTTGGCTTACAACTATATATTTATATACTTTTTTTATTTATTCTGCGAATACAATTGTTCACTGGAACTAAGAATGAGGAAGTGTTATGTATGTATATGTGTACATACACGCACAGAGTTGTGTGTATATACATACGTGTACATGTATATACAATACACACTTATAATAGGAGACGTGTTATGATTCTACACGTGTGTTATCTGAATATGTGTGCACGTTGTTATAACCACATGTTCCAAACGATCTCTCGAAAAGATAGAGAAGTAACTTCATTCATGGTTTTGCTGCGAGAGGAAGGAACGGCATGAGAATATAAAAGAGATAAAGGAAAGGAAGAAAGGCGGCGAAGAAAGACTATATATATAAAAAAAAACGATTCCCTCTTTCATTTCAACGGATTTCCCCATTAGCTGTTAGTGCTATCCGAACATCGCCGCGTGACAAATGGAAATTCCTACCCGGTGTTCCTGCCTTCAACCGTGTCTTTAATGTCTTCACTATTCGTGATCTGCTTCCAGTCTGATTCGAGATTATAATTATAGCCTCTTTAGCTGAAAGAGCGTTATGAAATGACCATTTAACAAACTATTTTCTTGCAAACCCACCTCTCAAACCGATACACATTTTGTTACATAATTTTACCTATGTTTTGTAATGGATAAAATTGTTATTTACTAAATAACGCAGTGTAATTTCAAGTTCACTTTTTGAGAATTATGCTATTTGAATTAATCTAAACATTGTTAAAGTGGTGATTACTGATTAGTGAACCCGTATCGTAATAGGAACACACGTATTTCGATTCTTGGCCGACCATGATCCTAGTATTTTAATTGGATCTTTTCGCGATTTTCCCCAGACATTAATGTTGAAATAGCGCATTCAAATAGACTACTCCTATTTTTGTAAGCATCCTTCTCAGTAGGATTTGAGGTTGTCACAGCGGTGGTTATGAAGAGTCTACTTTCAGGGATATATCGCCACGTAGTCTGGTGAAAGTTGACGGACTATGTGCGGTTTTACCCTAGAAGACATAATTCTTCATGTCCTGCTCAGTGCGTCATCTGGAATTATAGACCCGTTTGAAGGCAGTTGAAATAGTAACAACACCTAAACTAAGGAAGAGCGTCAGTTTATATCCTATAAATGAAATTAAAAATTGGCAGACGATTGAGTTGACCTAAGTCTTAATGTATGAGAGAAACTGTTGTAACCAAAAGTAAACACCACAAGAACAATCGCCATTGTTCTATCTTATTACCTTATGCCATTTTTTCGTTAAAGACAGGTGAACCTAATTTCTTGTTTTATAATCCTACACCACCCCGCGCCTTCATATCACACGCACAGGATAGCGTCTCTCTTGCACACATACACAGGAGGGAGGACCAGTTCACACGAACACAATGAATACACGTCACAGGCTATACGTTACGGAACTCATGATAAGAGACAACATTCTTTCGTGTTTTGTAGGTCCTAGGTTCAAATGTGGAAGTACCGTAAAAGATGAAAGTAATTATGCTGAAGCCTAGAACGTTCGATGTATTGTGTTTAAAAGTCGCGTTTCTATAAGCCATTTACAGTTCGCTTGTGTCATGTGTGGACCCGCAGTCACGACACTTCAGAAGTGCACAGTCACTAAAAATATCCCTAGATTCTAACGGGTTCTGACGATTGTGTATAACACTCAGAACCACCGGGTTTTTTGGACTTTGTCCATCGTCCGGTATTCTAGACATTAGAAAATACAACGTTTCGGAAACTGGATACGTTTCTGCCCTCAGGTGAGGGAGAGGGGTAATTGAGGTTAGGTCTTTCTAAGGGACCCAACTGAGTAGGTGTCTTCCACTTTCACCTCGTCTGAGGACGGAAACAGATCCAGTTTCCGAAATGCTGTGTTTTCTACTTTCTAGAATACCGCACGATGGACAAAGTCCGAAAACCGAACGATTCTAAATATATATACTGTATTTTAAAACTGGGGATATGCCATGGAGTCTAGTCACGCAGTAAAAATTTTAATTTGTGTCTTTAAAATCTCAAGTTACATTGGCAAGATGCGACTGTAGGGCACAGATTTCGGGTTTCAGATACAGAAGAAAGACTACAGCTGCAGAAATGAGAACTCTAAGTGAATATATTGTGGAGTGCCGCCTAAAAGCCAGAATATCTGAGACAGATCGGGCGTCCATTGTTAGCCAACGGCTCGGTATCCACGGTTCCGTATCGTTGTCAGGGTGGCAATGAAACAGATTCACGCGACAACGCATACATATTAGACGTTACCATGGAAATGAAAGCCAGAACTAGTGCAGTTCCCGCGGCAACGAATACATTAGCAACCGGTGCATAGAACATGTGAAACGGAAACCTTGAATAAGATGTCTTCTAGTCTGTCCGACATATAAGAGACCAGACCAGAAGAGGGCGAACAGATCAGAGGCTAACGGAGCAGAGCTGAGAGCAGAAGAAACAAACTCAGCTAAGAACCAGAAGAAGACGACAGACTAGTCAAGTTGCATCGTCTGGAAGACGCTATTGATGAGTGATTGTAATCCTAATTTTAAACAACTTATCCAACAAACAGCTTCATCTAATCCGGAAACCATGAATTTCTTGTCGCGTTACCTAGGAGACATGAGAATATAAACTGATATGTTGGGATTTTGGACTTTATCCATCGTCCTGGTTTTTAAGATAACAAATAAAAACACGACGTTTCGGAAACTGGATCTGTTTCNTAGCTCTTTCTAAGGGACCCAACTGAATAGGTGTTTTCCTTCACCTGAGGACGGAAACAGATCCAGTTTCCGAAACGTCGTGTTTTTATTTGTTATCTTAAAAACCAGGACGATGGATAAAGTCCAAAATCCCAACATATCAGTGTGTTATACACCATCGTCAGAATCCTATAGTAACTACATGAGAATATAAAGTTGGGTAAAAATCAAGAATGATGAAACACTAAGGCCAATAAAAGATTGAAGTAGGCGATGGTAGAAATGTACATTAGCATGAATTATAAGGGATAAAGTGTAAGAGAAAGTGAAGAAGATGGTAGAAAAGTGAGTTGATGCCGGCACAGGCTTCGTGTCTACTAACGAAGAACAGAAACACCAAAACCTAAAGCTTGGCCCCGCTTTTCGGGTTTAGGCTGCATAGATAGTTGAGGTTATTAAAGAAATATAGCAAACCTTGCAGTTTCCATTTTCAGGGTTAATAACTTTGTGAGGCGTTTTGCAGCTCCTCAATACATCTCTCGACTTAGGCAGTGTGTCGCAGGTGAAGCCGAGATTTCATGCACAGAAGAGTTTGGATGCTGCCAGAGGGCATTCGTGTGGTTAGTGTAAAGATGCGATAAAACGTATCTCACCGACCACGTGTTTAAGGAAAAGAGGTTAAACATTTTTCATCATCACTTCTTCACCAATCACATGGACGCTCCTGGATGGTTAGTGTCCCGCTCTTGTTCTCATCCAATCATAGCCTCGTCTTCAACATTCTGCCT